AGAAGAAGAAGAAGAAGAAGAAGAAGAAGAAGAAGAAGAAGAAGAAGAAGAAGGACCAGCCACTGCCCTAGAACCTCCATCTTGCTTTATATATATTGCTATATTCTAAACCCTTAAACTCTAAGTTTTCCACCTTGTGATATGACACACTTCCATTCAAACTCCACACCCATAATTTTAGTTCTATCATTCAATTTTGGAAGCCTTCTCCACGGCCTCAGGTCAAATGTAGTGCTCTCTTGGGGGTCAGTGTCTGCCAGCACAGAAAGTCTGAAATTCTCAGCATCCGGGGTTCCAGCAGGATGTCTGATTTGGGTGCTCATGAACCACCCCATCACTGCCCTGGTGGTTTGAGTCTGTGTTGGCTGTGGCTTCTCTCTCTGGAGCTCCCTGGTGTGGAACCAGCCCCGTGTCCCTCCAGGCCTGGCTGACCCCTCTGCCCATGCTGGGAACCCCACGGGGCTCCTGCAAGGCCAGGAAATCTCTGCCACCACAACACAGACAAACCACATCCATGTCTGTCCGCGGCTCTTTCCACAACTCCCGGATTCCACTTGCAAAATAAAAAAAAAAATAAAAAAATAAAATAGCCAACCCAATTTGGGTTGTTTAGTAACACCAGAAAATGAGTGGGAGCGAGTCCTCCAGGACCAGACATGGATATTGGGAATGCTCCGTGGTAGGAGCAATTACCCCATTGCAACAGGCTTTTCCCACTCACCTTCAAAGCCAAGTTGGGCTCCAGTTGTATCCAATGCTGTGGCATGGAATAATGTCTGCTTGGGAAAGCCGGGCGATAGTTGGCTGAAGAAAAGAAAAATATCTTTCAGATATTTTATAATCCAAAAAACGTGGTCTCCAATGAGCTTTTTCCAAGCACATTAGTGCTACAGCCATTAATAATCATAGGGCTCAAAGAAGGAAAAAAAAAATCAGCTGGAAGAGAGTTGAAAGGGAAACCTATTAAAGTAAAAAAAGCAATTTCCCAAAAATATATACAGCTTCATTTCCATTTTTTTTTCTGGGGTTTTTTTTTGGGTTTTCTTTCTTTTCTCTTTTTTTCTCCTGAGTTATTTTTTGCTGTAACTAAAACTTTCAGTGACCTAATAGTCCTTTAAAAAGACAGCTGCAGGGAATAAAATGGGGCTGTTTTGTTCCTCTTGCATTGTTCCTAACAGCGGGACCCATTCCTCCTTGTCCTGATTGAATGCTTCCCAGAGTGTCTAGACATGCCACCACCACTGCTGAGGAGCCAGGAGATACCAGGGATACTCATCCCAGGAGCTGGGAAGGCCCCTTATCTGTCCTCCTCCCCATGGAGAGTCTCTCCAAACCCAAGACTTGGGCAAAACCCCAGATTATGCAATTCCTAAAAATATCTCCGGCGCTGTTCATTTTTAGGTTGTGCCGCGGTCACATTTTCCATGTTTTCGGCAGCGGGAAGGCGAGATTCCTGCAGGAGAACACAGCTTCCCAAGCAGGCATTTAGAGGGCAGCACCCAGCTCCCCGTGCCTGGTGACCACAGAGCAGAAGGTCACAGGATGAGCTGTCCCATCCCTCATGTTCCTGCAGTGTGGGACAGCTTTCCCTGCCTTCCAGGGAGGCTCCAGGGGCACCTACCTGGCCCTGACGCTCCAGATGTTCCCAATATTTAAATATTAAAATAAAATATAAATAATAAAATAAAAATAATTATAGAAATAAAATATGAATGTAAAATATTTAAATATTAAACTATAAAATGTAAATATTTAAATAATTACATATTTAAATAAATACCCTTTGTGAGATGTTTCACCCTGGCTTCCGCCGCTTTGTCCGACTCTCACTTCCCAGCCGCTCCTTGGTGTGGCAATTCCTTGGCCCTGGAATGTCTCCAGCCGGGATGAAGTGCTGGTCCAGTCCTCTCCTTTCTGCCAAAGGTTGTTAGCACATCCATCCCACAGCTCATAGCTCATCTCCAGTCACACCCTTGGATCCCAGAAATCCCGTGTTCCAAGGACAGGAAGGCTCTTGCCGGCAATCCCGGGAGCGCTTGAGGCGGTAGGAGCACTTCCCAAATAAAAAATAACAGGGATAATAATAGCCCTTATCCCTGCATCCCCCCTTCTGAAGCACCAGGACTTGGCCAGAGCCTGTCATCTGTCAATTACAATCTATTTCTGTCCTGTGCAGAGGGATCTGGCCGGGATTCCTGGGATTGGGCTGCTGGTGTGACTCATTCCCAGCTGATTGCTCCGTGGCTTCAGCCAGGTGCTCCTGGGACTTGGTGTCCTCATCTGGTGTCCATAAGGAATCCGTGCTTCAGGGGCAGGAGGGAGAAAGGGAGCGCTGGTGAGGAGCACATCCCTCAGAGCTCTCTGCCCAGAAATCGCCCTTGTGAAGGCCCAGAGGTGTTCCAGAGGTAAGGACAGGAAAGACAGGGATGAAAATCCTCAATGTGGGTTTCTGCTGCACTGAAGGAAAGATGGAGTCACAAAAACCTCAGGAATCCACCTCAAGGATCCGCAAAATTCTTTGAGGGAAATCTTGTGGGGTCGTTCTCAAGGATGCACAAGATTTCTTGAGAGATTTCTTGTGGACCCATCTAGAGGATCCTTCAGACTCCTTGAGGGATTTTTTGTCAACCCAATCTCCAGGATGCACAAAATTCCTTGAGGGATTTCTTGTGGACCCAATCTCAAAGATCCTCCAGATTCCTTGAGGGATTTTTTGTGGATCCAGTCTCAGGGATCCATGAGATTCCTTGAGGGGTTTCTTGTGGATCCA